AATAATAAAAATAAAAATAAAATTTTAAAAATTATACACATACATATATAATGAAATAATATACATATATACATATATATAAACATATTTATATATATACACACATATAATATATATATATATATATGTTTTATATGCATATGTGGTATACGTATTTTTTTCTTCTAAAAATCATGCATATGTCACATATATATATGATTTTTAGAAAAGCATGTATATATCACACATACATATAAAACATATTTATATACATATATATATGTATGTATTATATAGATATATGTGTATATATAAATATGTTTTATGTATGTGTGTTATATAATTTTTTTCCTAAAAATCATACATATATATATATATAATGTTTTTTAGGGAAAAATACATATATAACACATACATATAAAACATATAATAATTATACACATATATAGATATATATGTATGGATGACTAGGATGCCATATCAGCATTAAATAATATTGTTTTTCGTTCAGGGTTTTATTTGCCAATTTTTAAAAGTATAGTGTTTTAATTACCAATTTTTAAAAGTACAATATTTTTTTAGATAAAAAAAAATACAGAATTTAAATTGAGACGAGAGAAAAGTATAGGGTTTTAAATGGAATTATCCCTATATATATTATAGAATTGTAATTGTGTGTGTGTATATATATGCTTGATGATGCAACTTTGTTGGTCCCTTTTGGAAGGTATTGCCTAAAATTTGGTCGCACACTTGGCAAACGCTATATCGTTTTCTTATTTTGATCATTTGTGCATTTGACTGGGAAATTGAAATGCTAAATGCTAAAATAATTAGATCTTATACTTAATCATCGCCGAATCACACATACACTCAATTTACACACAAATATATTATTAGGTAGAGATCGAAAACTTGCCAGATTTTTTTTTCAGAATATTCGTTATACATTCCATCCACGGATATCTAACAAAAATAGTTGCAAATACAATCCGCAATTTCATTGTCCTCGATGATGATGATGATGATGATGATGATGATGATGATGATGATGATGATAATTGATCTGAAGAGTTAAGGATAAGAAGGAATCGAAAATGGAAGCTTTTCTGCCAAATTCCTGTCCCCCAGCGCCGCTAACAGATCCACAAGCATTATGTGCAATATCTACTAATGTAATAAACTTTTTATATATAATATACATAGATATATTTTACTGTCATGAAAGTACGAATAGGCGGATGCATTAACAGCTCAACACCAACTGGAATCAAAAGGTGAAGATGAAATGGCAGTGCAATTAAGGAACAATGTGTATTTTATAAATCATAATCCATATCATTGAACGCTAGTCATATATATACCAAAAAATATATATATACAAAGATGTATAGTTTCTATTCCAATCCAGAATTAACGATAAGAAATAGCGTAAGAGGGTGGAAATTAAAGGGATTATTATTATGTAATATATAATTAACAACAGTGGTAACATGTAATGAAACAAGTTGATGATTATTTTATTGCCCTTTAAGGCCAAAACCATGTGCTCAATACCAGAAGGTAACACTAGAGTAATTAAAAGCGGCAATATCTTTATATAAAAGAAACGAGTTGGCGGGAGATTACGTGTCTTTAGTGGAGGATCAGATGCAAAAGGGTACATAATCCAAATGTAATCAAATCATACAATTTTTTATTTTATTTTTTATTTTTTTGGACCCTAAATGTTGGGATAGACGGTAGTTGTGGGCATTTAAGTGGGCAGGGGGGGGGGGTCGTTCATGGGATGAATGGTCTTGGTCGGTCCACGACCGAAGTCACTAGGCGGACTTATAATATGATCGTTATAGGCCCAAACCATATACATATCCATGGGTTTCCATTCCAACATTTTCAGGTAATGAGATTTATTAAAAACAAGGGCAAAAGAGGGAATGATGGAAACATAAGCTTCCTAACTGTCACTTTACTCCACCGCCAAGTTAATGTCACGTGCCCAGCACTCTCCAATCGAAGAACAAAGCAACCTGTGCGTGTTCTGCACGCGACCAGAACAGAACGGCATCCGGGTTTTTGTTAACGAGTGCTTTCCTTTTCCTCACTTCTCAGAAATAGAATCTCAGACCGAGTGTCATTTGGTATTTTTACCATTTACCATTCACAAAAAAAATAACTTCGTGAAGAATCAGAGCAGGTCTCCAATGGCGGACAAGGAAGAGCAAGAACAGACAGGGCCGACGACCTCGTACGAGCTGTTCCTGAGAGTGATTAGCAAGAGAAGAACATGGGTCTGCCTGTTTTTGCTTGTTTACGCGACCCTTTTGTCGTCTTCGTGGAATTCGCTCAATTCGATACTCAACTGGTACGGAAGCCACCGTGATTCCTCCGGTTTTCCGGCGGTTTACGCTTCGGTGCTACTGGGGGGAGTGTTCGGAGTACTTTCGATGGCGGCGGCTCTGTCGGTGGCGGTGCCGGCGATCGTCGTGATTTGGATATCCGTCGTCGTTTCGATGGCATTCGCGGGAAAATCGAAGAGGAGGTTAGTGGTTGAGGGGAGGAAAGTGACGAGAGAGATAGCTGGTTTTGTGTTTAGGGTTCTTATCAAAGAAGGCAATTTTGTGGCTCTTGTCTGTGCCGTGCTTGGCTACTTTGCCTTCTTCAACAGATCTTCTGCTTAGCATTTTTTGCACTTTCGAGTTCTGGTCGATTGCAGATCTTACGAGTAATATCCAACCTTTCTATGAGATTTTCTATCCATTTTTTCTTTTTATTTAAAAAAAAAAATTGAATCCGGCCTTTGCCTATGCCTCCATCTTTTTTGGATTTCTTCCATGTCAAGAGACCGACAGATCACTTATTTAGACCAAAAAAAGACAATGTTCTTCCTTGGAGGAAGAGAGAATCTTTGTTTCCACTACGGATTGAAATGGGCTTTATGGCCCAATGGGCCTACTATTTTCATCCGTTTGAAGTAGTCCGTGAACACAGATCAAGAAACAATTATCTTCAATGATAAATCTCCGTAACGTGTGCCATTGAAAGCAGAGCATATAGTTAAAAGATTGAAGAAAAGGTCACTTTGATTATAAATTTATAATTGTAAAGATTTTGAATGGACACTTTGAACAATTGTTTGATTAAAATTTGCCAGGGTGTGCATAATGATTTCTCTAAAACAAATAGCCGAGCAGGAGAGATTATCACTGAAAAAAAAAGGGTACGTCAAATATAACATTCTAATGCCATATAGTTCAATGCTTCTAGCATATATTTGTATCGATTTCAATAAAACTATCAAATATAGATCTGTTATCTCTAAAAATCTAGATATATATTTTTTTTTTTTCATTTTAGGCAACGGGCCAACTGGTATGATATGAATTAACAAAAGAAAGAAAATTTAAATTTACAAAGGGACTGCACATAATTTTCCAAAATGGAAGTGACGGAAAAAGAAAATAAGTTTTTGTGAATGGTTAAAAGACATTCCCCACTTAGATCCCTCGCCATGCAAATTGTCCTTTCTTTTAATCATTGTTTCAGAAAAAAAAAAAAAATTACTCGTCAAGATATCAAATTCAAGGTCCAGATAAGGCAGCGTCCACTCGTATTTTTTAAAATTTTATGAAATTCGTATGAATTTTAATGTATTGATTCTGTTGGAAATATTGGCTCAAATCTCCCTGCATGTCTAATCGACCACGCAGCATATCACATAGAGAAGGGATGAAAATTGCAGCAGCTCAGGAAGTATAGGTTGCATGCATACATACATACATACATACATACATACCATACATACATGTATTTATATGATTTATTTTTCAAGCAACAAAACAGCTTATAGCTTTCTGAATGATAACACAATTTCACCTGAAATCTGCCAAATTTGTCGCCTCACTTTCAATAATTATGAGAGGGCGACGACAACTGTAAATGTTAGGTTTTGCTTCTCTCACTCTTATATCATTCATTACTTCGCTTCTCTCTCTTCCTTTTTTTTTTTGGTAAAAAAAAGAAGATAAACCTCTATTTCCTTGGCCATTTTCAAGTAACCAAAACTTTGGACAACAGTTTTGGTTTTTAACTGAAGCGAATTCGGGTGTTTGTCGGCAGAGGGATCTGGTTGTTCATAAAGTTTGAATTTGGCGGCGTGGGGTTTTCATTCCATTCGGCCTAAAGTTTTTCTTGCATCATTTGGCGTAGAGGGATTTTTTTCCGTATTGGTTCTTCGAAATTCAGGAAAATTTTCAGCTGGGTATTCATAAAAATTCAGAATTTTCTAGAGCTCCCTATCGCATTCCGCTGGACGGCGTGATTCGCAAGAGGTGAAATATTTTCCTGTCCGGGCGAGATTCGCTGAACGGAGCCGACAAATTACCGAGGAAATCCAGAGAAGCTTTTGAGAACCGGGCGATCCTGAAGTTTCAGAATCTCTTATCAGGTAGAACAAGCATGGCGCCCGCCCGAAACGGGCCTCTGTATCCAGTTCTAGGGTTTCTGGTATGCGCAATATTCATCTACCTGTCGTTTGGGGATCTATGGTTCGATTACAAGGCGGAGCCGGAGTTAGGTTTCGTGAAACGAAACGGGACACAGTTTGTGGTGGATGATAAGGTCTTGTATGTAAATGGATGGAACTCGTATTGGTTCATGGACCATGCCGTGAATGAACATAGCAGATACCTTGTCAGTGGAATGCTCGAAGCCGGGGCCAAGATGGGTCTTACTGTCTGTAGAACATGGGCCTTCAATGACGGAGGCTACAATGCTCTGCAGATCTCTCCCGGTCGATTCGATGAGCGAGTCTTCAAGGTATATTGACTTGCAGAGTTCTCTCTGTATTTGTTTGTGTTCTTTTAAGATCCAGTTATCGTTTGGCTTAGCAGGTGTTGCAACTTGGAAGAATCTGATCTGGAAAGTTTGTTTTTCACAGTGTAGAGCTATTGTCTACGTTGTGCTGGTGATGCTTGGCATTGAACTGTTTCTACTAGAAATGTGAAGGATTTGTAGTAAGGATCATGTTGTAGATGCAGATGTTACATTTAGAACTTAAAAATGTTCCTAGTTTTATGGCTTTTTTAGCTGCC